TTTATTATTATTATTATTATTATTATTAATTGTTGTTAGGAAATGGAGGAGGATCATTTTAAGCCAGTTTTCCTGCCTGCTTGCCACCTCCTCCAGCAACAGCCTCATCATGCCTTGCTGGCAACCCAGGGCTCTCTGGCAGGGAATATTGCCAGGTGAGCAACAGCACACAGCTTGCACTGGCTCCCCAGCTTCTCTGCAGCAATCCGAGCTTCAGAGCAGTGTATTTTAGTAAACTGTTTGCACAAATTTACAATAATATTATCTTTAGCTGGCTTCAAAGCCGCCATGGGGCCAAGAGGCTCCAAGTTCCAGCACTGAAACCCGTGTGCTGCTGAAGAGCTCAGACCGATTTTCAGCCCTGAACCAGTGAAGTAGTTTACTTCACATTCACTTAAATATTTGCCAAGATGTTATTTTAAAACAAAAGTGGGATCCACCCTTAACCTGTGTATACATTTTCCTTGTAAATACTGAAGAAAAACCTCAGTAAATGCTTTTCTTAAGGAGAGAACAGCTCAGGAAGTGCACCCACGTTAAAGAATGAGGAGATACCACTTATTTTCTCCACCCTGCCCTTTTTTCCTTTTAACCCTGCACTGACATGCATAACCTTTTAAACCAGTGCTGGGAAGCATCCAGCCCCTTACAGTTAACAGCTTCTCTTGGAGAAATAAAAACCATGAGATCTTCATCTGCACTGCATAAAAAATACACATCTACTTCACGCACAGTGCACACAAGTGCAGAAGATGAGCTTAGGAAACTGTAATAGGAAGCAGAATAAATCTTGGGCAGTCGGGTTGCATCAGCCAGTGACTTTTGTGCACACATTAAAAGATTTGAAGTGTCAAAGTCCAGTGATTTCTACTACATGTGAAGTACTGCTGGGAAGCACCCACACTTCTGAAAATTAGAGAACACTTTCCCAGTATATCCAGCCTAAGTTTTATTATACCTAAACTTAGCACTAATTTTTATAAGAACTTTTTCTTTCTGTCTTTTCTCTCATGTTTTTTAACCTGAAGGAAGTCCAGAGTATGTCAAAAGCCAAGCAAATTAGATAGACTCTTTGTAGCTGCACATCCGTAAATAAGTTCAAGGGGGGAAACTTCCGCACTGACAGAAGGAGGTTAGCATTTTCCACCTTTCATGTGCTTTGAAGCTGGGCAGATTAGTAACAGAGCACTGGTTAGCAGTCTACCATAAAATCCTCACTTTCTAAGGGCAAGTCCTGTTCCATCTATTAATATGTGAAACAGAACGAAAACACTTAAAGGTAAAGGACAACAGTGAAATACACTAAAAATATCCCAAACTTTCACAAATGAAAAACAAAACAACCCTCCTTCCACCCTCCAAAATCCCACTCAAATAAAGCCACTCACACATCGCTTTGATGCGTGTAAACTCTGTCAAACAGAGCTTCTGGAGCCATCCACTTTACTGGAAGCCGTCCCTGTAAGTTGGGAGGGAAAGGGAAGAAAAATTAAAACAGCCTCAATCTACAGGATGGTTTCAGCACCAATTTTTCTAAAAGGTTAATCAGTTCTTAGAGAACAGTCTCTTAATGCAAACCAGCACAGAATTTACCTTCTAAATTTTGAGGGGAGAAAAGTAACATGGGCTAAAGCAGGAAGAGCATGAAGGAAAATGGATATAATCACTGAAGATAAAATTAAAAGCATTGAGGGCTCCCCAAAAAGTTCCCAGGTTCCTTGCTAGGAGAACGATACAAGAAGCAGATCAAAATTAAAAAGGTCATTCCACCATGGCTCTTTAGAGACAAAAAAAGCCCAATAAATAATCCTCTGAAAAACAGGCCTGCCTGCAAAAATGAGTTGATCACTAAACCTAAGAATCTGGGGGTTGTGTTCCACCTTTTGCAGTGACCCAAGTCTCAGTCACAACTGCTTGTTCCTTTGCACAGAGTCTGCTCTGCCCAGATCCCAGGAATTGCACTACATTTGATATGAAGAAGGTTCAACTCCCGCCAGTACTGGTGTACCCACACCTGATTGCTCTGTCTTTTAGAAGCAGGCAGATATTACTGTTTAAATGTCATTAACTACTTGGTGCTTTATTTTGATAGATAGACCACTTAACATGACTGTTAATAATAATAAATATTTATACAAAATATTAAAGCCTGTAGAACTGCAAAGTTCTCATTAAAACCCAAGTGTGGTTCATCAGATCTTGAGATCCCCTGGGAAGGAGGTGTAAGCTGTTCAAAGTAGGCATCAACAACTACCTCTGAAAGGTTCAAGTGCAACTTGGTACAAGTTAAACAGCAAAACGGTGACAGAGCAGGCAGTAAAAACCTATTTTCTCAGCCTCTAGCCCCACTTTGATACTACCCCCATAACTCGTACATAACAAGATCAGTACAGGCAAAAAGCATAAAGCTGTATGAGGCATTAGCACACATTAATAGGATTTTTGTTAGGGTGATTTCTAGCACTGTTCATACAGTGCTTTTCAAGCTCCTAGACTTGGTACAAAATATGCTGGATCCAACAGGAGCCAATATTTCCACTATTTCAAGTGACTGGAGTCAGGGACACACAAAAAGCAATTCTTGCATTTTAGCATTTCTAATAAATCATACAACATACAGCCTCTTTGGTTATCTTTTAACTAACTGTCATTGTAAGAGGGGACAGAAACACTTATGTCCTTGATCCCTGTTTTCTGTCTGAGATGAAAAGTGAGGCTGCTGTACAAGAAGCCCATTAAGTTTACAACCACAGTTTTTAAGTGAAACATTGAAAGAAATACTTGTTTCCAGAGATAAGAAAACCAGCCACTTACATTAGTAGTCTTTTTATAATAATCAATATTGTTGATGTCTCTGGCTAAACCGAAGTCTGCTATTTTCATGACATTATTTTCAGTTACCAAAACATTTCTTGCAGCCAAGTCTCGATGGATACACTGGAAAGAAAAGGGAAATAAAAAAGGCCCGCTGAAATAAACCGCTGTAAAAGCTAAATTACTTCCACGCTGCAAGTAAGTCTCCTTTACACATTTTAACCTAAATCAAAAGGTGGGAAAGCCATGCATTTACTTAAAGCCTATGAAATAAGATTGTCTTACTTCATGTCGTCCATCCTCTCAGCTGGTGTTTCCAAGTTAAACAGCCCTAAGAAGCCACTTAGAAAAGCCTGGTTTATTTAAGACTTATACTTTGCTAAGGGTGGTGACACTGACCATGCCGGGCTGTGTGCGATTCACTCTCCATTACACATGCCCAGGTACAGGTATTGCAGGACTTTCATTACAAATACTGTAAATGACTGTTATGTTGCTTCTCTTAAATTACACCATCTCACCAGAGCTAAAACCTGGCAGTCTGGATCAGTGCAACCATTCTGAATATAAGAGATCTTAATATGAGACATGGCCACAGTATATAAGTCTAAACTCGATGTCAAGGGTGCGTGTATTTACTTCAACCCTAAGACTATAGAAATTTAACCATGAAAAGCTAAAAAAACCCAAACAGTGTAGGCTTGGTTGTTTGCTTGTTTGGTTTCTTTTAGTTTCAGTATCAAATCTATCTCCACAGAGACTTTTCCTTCACGTCAGCAAGAAAATGTGTCACTGACTCTTAACACGGAAAGAACACTGTGGCTGCTCTGGGTATTATTCCTGTGTTCAAACAGCCTTATCAGGGTTCATACAAGATGGCACGGTAAGAAGTGTATCTGGATTCCTCCCAGGATATTCTACTTCTTTTCAAGTTAAACATCTTTCCCCTTTATTTTGGATTACCCTTTATGTTGTACTCTTTATTTCAGCATGTGCATAGACATGCTGGACTGAACCACTACAAAAACTATACCAGAGCCAATTTTTTTCTTGCATTATAACCTGTCCCAGCAACTTGCTGAGATCTCTTACCCTGCTTGGGTAAAATGAAGTTTCTGCTCCTCACTGGGTTAGCCATGGGGAACTGCCAAGAAAAACCTGCTCCAGCAATGCCTTTATGTGCACAGGACCAGACAACAGTACGTGCTTTCAGCGTCAGTCTTCTAATTCGCCATCAGCAAAAACTACATTCCAGTCCCTGTTCTTATCCCTACAAGAACATCCTAGGAGCTCAATGCAGCCACTCAGCTACAAGTTCATAATGTCATTGAGATACCCTAGGATGAGACTATATCAGGGATGATGCAGGATCTGCAGCAGACCCAAGTCTTTCCAGAACAGCAGGCTGGGGGTACCATAGAGCATCTCAAATGGCATGTAGCACCTCTGAGTGGATACACCCAGTGAGTCAAATCCTGGCACCTTCTGTCAGTATATTTCTCATACCCTACATGCATCTTTGCAACTGAGGCTCTTTCCATCTTCAAAATGGTGCCATTATTGATTTCCATATCTGACAGGTTTCACAGCTGACCCTCTGGCTTTAACAATTTGCTGTCTCTTTGCAGCGATCTGGGCCAGTCCCTGTTCCTGGAGCTCCCCTGTGGTTCTTGCATAGTACTGGAAGGTTGGAGAGGGCACACCAAAAGAATTTTAAAAAGCATGCCTCCAATTTTGGAAATGGGATATTATTCTAAGTACAATTGCTTGTAAGACAAAAACTTTCTGTAAGGCAAAAAGTAGGTGCCCAAACATCATCTTTAATTCTTTTATTTGAAGTCTCAGTGAGCAGTTTATTGGGTTGAAATAACAAGAACACTGGCCTTCTCACAGTTCCTGCATGATGGAAATACCGTGAGAAGACCAGCTCTCTTATTATTCCAGCTCAGTAAATGGATCCCTAAGGGGAAAAGAACTAGTGAAATCCAAACAGAAGTGGTGGGATATCTGAAGAACTGGAATGCACAGCTTTACTATGTGGTGCCTTTGTTTTCCCTCTGCCTTGTGCAGTGCCTTACACTCTGTTGAGTTTGGCGCAGTGCTGACCAAGTGCTTTTGCAAAGGGTCTGCGTCAAGGATGAAATGGTTCTGCCCTGTGCATGTGTGCAAGCTCACATCTTCTTGGTAGTGTCCTACAACAGCACTTCAGGGCTTCTCAGGTAAATGCTTGTTCTCAAGATTTGCTAATCAAAAGCGGGTTTTTTTCCTTCCTAAATAGTTCTATTTTCTTGGAATATGGCTCATTGCCAGGCAAATGTTTCATTACTCTTAGAAAGAGATATCCTGAGGTGCTTTACATAATACACCCATGCTTACTCCATTAGATTTTTGCCTTGGTTTCATGCATGTTGCCCTGTCTACCCTACTATGCTCAGAATTACTGCTTCAAAACAGAAGAATAAAAGCAAAATTAGACCTAGATTACACACACACATACACAACCTCTACAAGTGCAGAAAAGCAATAAAATCATGACTCCACACAACAGGAATGGATGTAAACACTCAGCTCTGGTCCTTGGTTAAAAACAGGTCCATACTTGGGAGTGAACATGACTGGAAATTAGTATAAATCCCACTAACCACTCCACACCTTGCAGGAAGTACTTATCTTCAATATCTGGTGCTCTGGTTTAGCCACTGGGTCCAAAGACCTAGCAGGGTATTCATGATTGCTTGTCCACCAAGCCACAGTATGTTTACAGAGTTAGTTGTACAGGGCTATTTAAGGTTTCGTAACTATAATTTAATCAAATTACTGGTTAAAAAGAAAAGTTGAAGAAATAAATGTCTAGGGACATGACAGGATAAATAAATTCTTTCAATAAGCTTGCTCTCCTGACAAACACCAGTTTTAAGTACATAATTTAAGTGACTAATTCACTGCATTTATTTTTGCCCTTTCCGTTCACCAATTTCTTCCCTGGCATCTTGTAGTCTTCTTAACTCTGCCTATTATCATTCTGTAAATCCTCTCAGTAACTGAACTCGTTTATTTTACACCACTACCTGAACTGATTTGGTTGATTTGACTGGAAACAGAAGGCAAATGGTGCCGGCTGCCCCATGGGTGGAGTAATGTGACTTGTGTAATAAGTGACCACCTGTGCTCATGAATTCAAATGGCAGATATGTACACAGTATTTACTTTAAATGATCTATTCTGGGCCTCATTTTAGCAATATTGTTAAACAGTGATTAAAAACTTCAAGCGTTTGAATTTTCCCACTGCTCTCCAAGAGCACAGATTATGCAACTCGTTTGAGAAGGGCCCTTCTTGAACATAAATGAGATGAGAACAAAACCAAACTCACAGAGTGCCAAACAAATACACACCATGTGCTTTGTGCAGTATTTGCTGAGTTCTACCTACTTTTTGTGAGGCCAGGTACTCCATGCCTCTTGCCAACTGGTAGGTGCATGACACTAAGTCCTTGAATGTCATCTGCTCTTCTGGTACCCTGTTAATATCAAACGAATACTCCATCCCCGGGGGGCGGCGTGCTCGCAGGTACTCACGCAGGTTTCCTTTGGAAGCATATTCTACTATCACATACAATGGACCTTTGGATAAACAGAAGCGTGTGAAAACCAGAGTAAGGTTGAAGGGTAAAATGTTTTTATGTGAAGAAGCTTTTAACGCTCTGTAATAAATGAACCAAACCAATAAATGTTTAATTGTGAAATCAGTAAGGACAACTTGAAAGAAAAGGAGGTCCAGACCTGGCCAAATGACTGGCCCAAAGCTCCATAGCAGAATACCAGCAGAGCTATAATTAGTGTCTGAAATCACCTAAACCCTGATCCAGTGCCTCTTCCTTCCAGATCATGCCATGTACTTAACAAGAAGCATTTTCAATCAGAAAATACTGTGAGATCTCAAACAAAGGGAAAGTGCTTAAGCTTTTTCTAATTTCCAGAGATTTATGCCATTCTGCATCACTTTACAAGACATAATTAGCTTTTAATAAAAACACTGTGGTCTTCAGAGAGTAAAAATGCTTATTTCACATTCATGGGATACAAGTCCCACTAAAGCAGGACTGACAATTCAGAACAACAGGCATGGGTAAAGCCCCCATAAAATGACATTTTTTCCCCTGAAGCAAGGGATTAGAGAGTTTTCATATGATATAGTACCCTTTCTCATATTAAAGCTGCAAGTATAATGAGAGACAGAAGTTAAAATATTGCTGCTAAGCTAAGGAAATATCTAAAAATCCCATCACGGCATGACTGCTTCCTTAAAAACTCTTGAAAAATTATGGTTAATGACACTTTCGGAGACCTGTTGGAAAGTCCTGGTTTACTTTCTTTTCTCTACTCACCATCCTGGGTACAGGCTCCAAGGAGATTGATGATGTTTTTGTGCTTCCCAATCATCTTCATCATCTCCATCTCTGACACCAGGTCAGACAGATCTTTTTCTGTAGCATCATCTGTAGAAGACACAGGTTCAGTTTGTATTCTCTAAGCATGTCACGCTGAACTTCACTAAGGCTCACCAGCTGATGTAAAGCGTGTGCTTCCAAGTGCAGAATACAGGATTTGTTTTCCTGTATACACTGTATGTTACACAAAGTCATATGTTATGTCCTAAGAAAAATAATCTCAGCTTCTTTGATGAACTGACCAACTCTTCAATTTTGTATTATGAGAGGCAGCAGTAATATCGGATATGAAAACGCTGTCCTTAGCTATCAAACCTCAAAACTATGCCTTTCCTGCAAACTAACCTTATAATTAAATTCAAAATAAATAGGCACCAACCACCTGGACTGAATGGGCTGGGATACACATATTGACAGCCTCTGACATGAACTAAACTAAAAGCAGAGAGACCCACACGATGCTTATATATATCCAGCCTCCTAAATACTCGCTGCTCAAGATAAACAGGCTGTCAAGGGCACAGATTTACACCCCAAACTGCTGAAGGCTGAGGTCAGCTATGTGCTCTTTGACCCCTCCCATGATGACAGAGTTCAGATGCCACAAAAGAAACTTTTCGTGGATGAAGACTGCCATATCACCCATTCTGATCCCTAATCACCCAATTTTCTTACCTTTCAACATCTTGACTGCCACAGTCACTGCTTCTTTAGGCCTGTCTTTGTCAATCCCCACCGCTTCGGCCATGACGACTTGCCCAAAGCAACCTTCTCCCAGGGGTTTACCCAGCGTCAGCCTAGAGGTGCAAACAGGAGATTAACACTCAGCATCTGGTTAAGGGATGCAGCCAGTGAAATTCCAGGGCTAAACATAAAAGGCTTTCAGCAACTTGCTGTAGCATAAAGCATTTATCACATGGAACTAATGAGACTCTGTGTGCACATCAGTTTTCATGCGTGCTGCAGTATGTTTTCTTAGGGGTCGGATAGTGAGCATCTCAGAAGGGCAGATCAGTTGCTAAACCTGGCTTTTAAGCTCTCCCTCTGCTTGTAATAAGAGGCTGGAGCAGGGAGACACAGCACAGAGGGGCAGAGCTTTCAGAAAGCAGCAGAACTCCAGGAGCAGCCAGCAACTCTTGGGCTTTTCCTGTCCTTGTAACCTGGCCAGTCGTCTTCTTTTGCACATTGACTGCAAGGAGATGAAAGAAAAGTTTCTTTGTGCTTTTTGCCATGTGGTCTCTTTCAGGCAGCTGATGATTTGTGTGGTAAAGGGTGGTATTAAGAGCAGGGGGATATTTTAAATATTAACTCCTGTGATATAATGGCACAGTGCAAACAGAAAGTAAAATCAAATATGGTCTCAGGCAGCGTAATTTTAGCTCAGAATTCATGTTCTTGCTTTCTGTTTGGGGACACGGGCTGTGAAGATTTGCCTGATGATGACTTGCACTGGAGGAATCAGCCAGGACAGACATCGGGTCAGTAGACACTGTGGTTGGGCACAGTTGTAGGTGATTATCAAACCCATTTCTCTGTTGTATGGCTGAGAAGGTGGCCACCCAGACGCCTTCTTGAGGGAGAGAGGATGAGGGTGAAAGGAGGCTGGTGGCAGGCAATGTGGAGGAGACCTCCTAAAAATAATTTTATGTCCAATGCTCCGAAATGTACTTCACTTTGGAGTATGATTTCCTGTGGGTCTTGACATTTTCCTTAGAGCGAAGGCACTTAATGATAACTGCTTTGAAAAAGGAGGCAGCTCTTCATCCACATAACAAAACTCTTGGTGTGTATGGTGTATTTTCCATAAGGCTCTTTCCCCACCAGGAGGCTGGTGACAAGCATGCAGTGAAGGCTCAGGAGGGGTTACTGCTGTGAGGGACTGGGCAAAGGCTCCCGTGATGCTGATGCTCCCGTGCTTTGAATGGCTGCCAGAAGCCGCCACAACCTCTGGCTCCCCTCTCTGCTGCAAGTCCCACCATGCATACAGAGGTGATGCTCTCCCTGCCCAGCAGCACCTCCATGGCCAAAGCACTTGGCACATCCAAGCATCCCCTGCAAGCCAGCTTCTCTATGGCCTCCCCAGCCACAACAAGATCCAATATCCTCACGCGTTCCTGTGATCCTTTAAGGGGCGAGACAGGATGCTTTATTTACCCACAGCTGGGTCTAGCACAGAGGCTGTTTCTTGGCTGCAGGCTCTTTGCTGCCACAAGTGTCATGTAGGAGGGTAACAGGAGATGCCTCCTGCCTGCAAGCACCCGGGTTATGCTCAGAAAGTGGGAAGCAGAGACTGGGGGAAACTGAAACTTGGCTATAATCACAGTATCCATATCAGAAACCTTTTAAAAGGAGCAGTTACTTAGTGTGCTGTGCAAAGTGTATTTGGCAGAGCATATACCTGCTTGCAAAACCTGCTCAGCTGTAACAGACAGACACGGAGATGTCAATCTCAAATTTATGAGGATAAAGAGATAAAATGAAAAAGAAACTTCAAAGCCTCTGGGCAAAATCATTTTTGTTCCAGCCTAAATGCTTAAGGTCCAGATTTGGGCTCCTTTACTTGCAAAGAATATCATCTAACATCCAGAAGCAGTGCCGCAGCAGAAATCAGGGAGGGTGATCAATGAGTTTGATGCTGCTAATGTTATCCAGAGGAGGGGTCAGATTCAGATAAGCATTTTCATAACAGAGTTCTTCAGGATTGGTTTTTCATGCTCAAAAGCAAGATTCACAGATGCAGTGTACGCTGGGACTCATTCTTAAAGCATGGACTTCTGTCTTCCCCCACGAAATAGAATCATAGAATACAGGGGGAGGTTGTCATATCATCCACAGAAGAGTCTTAAACCAAGGCTCAGCAGTTTGAAAACCCCGCTTGTCTGCTTGGGCACAAGTCAGAAGTGAGAGGTGGCTCCTCGGGAGGGCAGCCCGCTGACTCCTTGTCAGATGCGGTCTTTGCCTCCGTTAGAATTCCTCGAGCTGTTTTGGATCAGTTTCTAAAGCAAACGCGAGTTTTAAAAGGTGCAAAGACTGAAGGGCAGCGTATGCTGTGCTGAGGTCACTCCAGAACTAAAATTGAATTTAGGATCTTGGCAGAGAACAAACATTTGCATTGGAAACTGGTTAATTTATGTGCTATTGCCCTGCTAGGACTAAAGTAACAAACGCCTCATTGTGTGCCTCCTGCCCCCCAACCTAATAAACTGCCTCTAAATAGCCTCCTTTCATTGCAAATCTGCTCCACCGACATTTGTGCTGAATGCTGGTTTTAAATGTTTAGCACTCTCAAATTTTCCGCATTTAGTGTATCCCCACAGGGTATGGGCTAACAGAAGCACATACACAGGCCCCCACTGTTGACTAGAATATTGCAGGTGGCAGTTACAGCATTTTGCACTACTTTGCAGCTACATCATTAAAATAATTTCCAGAACAGTTGTCAGAAGGTTCAGGATTACAGCTCTTCTATCCAAAAGTTACAAGCCTGAACTTTCAAAGAGAACCGTTCATGATAAAAGGTGTTATTTTCCCAAAGCCACCTACAGACTTCTTAAAGTTAGTATTAACTTCAATATATAATCATGGTTCTACCTGTATTAATATTATCTCTTTTACATGTCTTCTTTATATTAAAAAACATGGTTACAGCTTTAAATTATTCAGAAGCTCATTTAGCATGTCAGTCAACAGACTTTGAAGAAAATATTATGTAGCCACATGAATTTGCATATATCAAAATTCAGTGTGCTCTGCTTGAAACCTAATACCTCTAAGCCACAGAAGTTGTACATATATGCACACCATATGCAAAATGTTCCCCCAAACCAAAAATCATCATCTCCATTAATACAGGCTAATGCAAAATCAAAACAAATCCTACACCCAGAGTCCTGTCAGAAAGAAAAGATTGTCTAATGCCATATTTTAGACTTTATCTCCTACATGATACTGTATTACCTGTTTTATAAATATTAACTTAGTAATAACTGAAGAACATTGGTTTAATTTACAGAGGTATTGCTTGGGGAAATCTTGATTGCCCTTCACCAATGCTTGTATGTGTCCCGGTCTAGACCATGTATATTTTGAGATAACATTTCAGATACACTCTTTTCCTGATAGAGGAGATGCATTTTAGCAGAGTATCTGAAAACCCACAGGAAATCTGAAAATAAAATCAGAACAGGCAGAGAAAATTTAGCTTCTATTTAAACCAACTGACTTCAGATAATTGAATTGGATCTTGATCTTCAGGAGATTTGGGTAATTGAGATGTCCCAGGGTTTCTTGAGTTAAAAGGACACATTACATGTCATGTTCTTCAGATGTGCATAGGTAGTGCTAAGAGAAACAGGCTACATACTTATCTCTTGGAAACTCCCACTTTGGGTCTTCTGGCAATTCGTATTCCGAGACTCCTGCCAGCATGGGGGCATCAGCAGTAGAGGAGAGGCGAGTGGTTATCCTCACCAGAGGCGTGTTGGAATTCATGGAGGAGCTCGAGTCGGCTGACACCTGTTGTTGTAATACAAGATGCAAAAAAAGAAAGGGAGAGATGTAATTCTGACCCAAAATCTGAAACCCTGCAGCACCTGATAACCAAGCCAGCTCAGAACAGTGGCGTTAGGAAGTGGCTGAACCTAGAGTCTTGTTTCTACTGCACTATTCTCACATATTTTCCCTCCCTTCTAAGCACAGTAACAACTCCAATTGCTGCCAAGGCTGTGTCTGCCCCATAGGTCAAAAACCATGTAAGTTTTAAATACATTCACTCTGAAGAGAAATACTTTTTCCCTCTTTTTTTTTTTAAATCAAATTAATATATATTTAATCAACAGAGAGTATTTTCATCGCCACCCTAAGATGCCTAAGTAAGTGAGCAGCTTACATTGTGAGCAGAGGTTACCAATAAGCTCTCTTCTTGCACTTGCTTCCACTTGTCCATGTGACCATTTCTCCTCCCAAATCAGCACACAATTTACTATTTTTGTGTGTTAACAGTAAATTGAAGTTTTGGATTTTTATTAAAACCAGTATTTTAGCAGAGGCTCCTATATTTTTCATCAGAGAAGGGCAGCAATGTTGGTGAAGAGTCTGGAGCACAAATGTGATGAAGAACAGCTGAGGGAACTGGGAGCATTTAGTCTGGAGAAGAGAAGGCTCAGGGGGGACCTTATTACTCTCTACAACTGCCTGACAGGAGGTTGTAGTGAGGTGGGTGTTGTATTTTTCCCAATTAGCAAGTGATGGGACAAGAAGAAACAGCCTCAAGTTGCACCAGGGGAGATTTGAACTGGGTATTAGGAAAAAATATCCTCATCAAAAGGGTTATCAAAAGCATTGGAACAGGCTGCTCGGGGAAGTGGTGGAGTCACCAGCACTGGAGCTATCTAAAAGACATGCAGATGTGGTGGAGTTGACATTGCAGGGTTTATGTTAGGACTTGGTGACCTCAAAGGTCTTTTCAAACCTAAATGATTCTGTGATTCTATATTTTCGAAGCATTCTTTATTGAAAGCATAAAAAAGCAATCACAATAATTGGGGGATACTCAAGTTTTCAGTTAACTACATTCTTAATTAAAGATTCTGCAGGCAATGTGGAGAAGAGCTCCTGAAAATAATTTAATGTCCAATGCTTTGAAATGTACTTCACTTTGGAGTACAACTTCCCATGGGTCTCAGCATTTTCCTTAGAGCAAAGGCATTTAACAATAACTGCTTTGAAAAAGGAGCAGCTCTTCCATCCATGTAACAAAACTTGCTTTGGTGTGAATCTTCATAACGCTCTTTCCCCAAACCTGCAAGCAGCAACCTGCTGTCTGCTGACCTCAGAGTTTCAAGTGAATACAAATGCAAAACAAAAATGCTTGTGTTGACAGTCTTCCCCTCCTTTATATGTGAATCCTGCTTCTCTCTTCAGGCCATGAAAGTCTTGGCCAAGCCCAAATCTGATGGCCAAAGTGGGATGCAGGTTGTTTCACAGTGCCATCACTGGTACCATCCTCACATCAGGTTGCAGGAGGTGCTTCTCAGCCAGCACTGTTGGGACTCTGCCCAAGCTGGGAGCCCAGAGCATCAGAATGACTACCCCTGTAGACCTTCATCCTCTTCACCTGGAGTCAACTTTGACACCAGGTTTGCTCATGTGAAATCCAGGTTTGCTTATGTAAAACGTCACCAGTCTACAATTTTGTTCAACAGATAATTAGATAAAAAGAAGCAATTATAAGCAAATAGATCCTAATGGCATTAAAGTGCAAATCAGTGACACACAGTGATATGAACACAAAAATCCTCTTGTCTCCATGACACCCAAGAAGTCCGTGTTACTGCTTCCTGATATTAAGCCAAATTCACAATTACAGCATCTCAGCCCATAGAATTACTTGAGCTCCTCAGAATGGGGCTGAAAGGCTTTTTCAAGTCACACTCTTATGCAACATATTTTGACAAGACAAGGCTAATGCTCTCAAACAGATTTCTCAGCACAACTCTTGACCACTTTTTTTGTTTAAGAGGTCTTTTTGCAGGAAGATGTCCTCAAACCCATCTCATCAAATGAGTTTGGCTTCTCAACACCTTTTTTTAAGACCAGAAATTAAGACTGGAAAGAGGTTTTATAAGGAAAAAAGTGTTAGGGATTGCTATCAAAAAATTAGCCTTGGTGACCAGTTTTGCAGCTGACAAAGCTCCACTTTCTGCACGCAAGATGTGCTATCTATGGAGCAAGAGAGTACAACTGTGCAAATGAGGCTACCATTCAAAGGAAAGGTAGACCCCACTCATTCATCCCACCATCTTTAACGTTAGTGTTTGTTTTGAGCAAACGTAAGTACCTCGCACACTCCTCTAGGATAACAGATACAGTGACCCCGTGGGAAACAAACAGAAAACTACTCTTAAGGCAGACTACGTAGCTCTAAATAAACCAGGAAATGAATGCTGAGCAGAGTCCAAGAGAGAAGTGCTGCCGTGCCCAGTCTACAGAGGGGAACACATCTGCTGGAGCATTATGGCAAGCCAGCATGAGATCCAGGGCTGGAATCAGACTTCTGCTTATGTTTCTGCTCATTTCCATTATGGTTTAAAAATGATGCTTCACGAAATGAACCAGCTCAGCACTGCGAGATGTGCAAATGTCCACAAACAATGTGGCAACTCCTCTGTCCCCTTTGAGTTCCCCTGAATTTCATTTTTCTGTTATTTCTGGATTCCACTTTTACCACCTCTCACTACAAACCTACTCTATAACCACTTCCCCCACCTTTCCAAAATCCACCAAGTATTCTCCAGCCATTCTACCAAGACCTTTATTCAAGCCTTGATCCTCCTGTATTTATTAACACTGCCTTTATTTATTTGTCTTTCTTTGTCATTATAGCCATTGTCTTCATGGGACATCAGGCAGGCATGGAAATGAAACTGCCAATTTAGATATCCCTTACTTATCAGAAATGGCCCAAAATGTTCTGGGGTCTTTTTCTTCACAAATACAATATCTATATTGGACACTGTTCAGTTCTCTGCCAGAGTTTCATCTTTTCCCTACCTCTTATGCTACAATTCAGCAATCTTAGCAGGGTTAAAACCTATAAATGTAAACTTGCAATAAACAGAAATACTCTGGTGATGCCTTTTAAACACAGAAGTTAAATATGAATAATGTAGAGAAAAAACAGGTGAAAGACTCTGCCAGTTTCCCTTTTAACACTACTGCACATGTTTACTTCACACAATAACTGGATGATTGGCCAGAGATGCTGTAGGTAACCAGAGTGCATTAACGTGGATAGGAATGAGGAGAAATCCAGAGGAACTACTTACTGTCTGTGAGCAGAAAAATGGGCTGTACTCCTAGGGAATATTCTTCGGATTGATTAACTGGAGCATTACAAAGAGTTACAAGAGCTCAAGGGCTATAAAAATCTGCTCAAGAAAAGATGAAGCCAACCCAAGCTGGCCTGTGATTGGAGAAGATTTTCTGCTTCAAAATGGCCTTACAACTTTTCTGCAGTAGTCAAGAATTAACCTTTGAACTCACTCCTTAAGCATCTTCTTCCATTGCCTTAGAGTGCACTACCAAATAATAAGGAAAACCCCACCTACTCCAAGGTCAGTAGACATGGTCAACTTTAATGTATACATTTAAGTAAGAGCATATAGAAAGCCTTTTTCTACCTTGATACTTGCAGTACTTTTCACCAACCTCCTACCATGCAGGTTTAAGAACCAGTGATGCTCCTGACATGAACCCCAGCTTTCAGCATGTGGTGTTACCTTCAAGCATGTGGATGCTCTTTTTGCTTTCAGTTATGCAAAGACTCAAGGTACATTGGACACAGGCCTAATAGAAGCCATAGTGAGCTTTTTTCCAAGCCTGTAATTGTACATGGCCAATATACAGACTTCAGGGCCACTTTGGGTTCTACAAGATGCCAAGAAGCAGCAGCTGGATATCTAGTCAAAAGGCATGAACTTCTGGGCAGTCACCCAGCTCCCCACCTTTATCACTTCTCAGAGACAAAGGAACAAGGCCAAGCCAGGGCAGAGAAGCAAGGAAGGGCATCTGATATAGGTGACTTAGACTTCTTCAAGATCCACTCAGTGTGTTGGTGACACCTGTTTTAGGTGATAACACTGCACAAAGGAGTTATTTTGAGTACTTAATTAAAGCAAGTAAGGCAGAAGTTGGCTTGCCATAATATATTTTTTGTGTACTTCCCTTCTGCTTTTAGGAGGCCAGAATCTATCAAAGTACCAGCCTCAGACACACCTTTAGCCCCAGATCTGCACTTGAGAAAGAGAAAAGCCCGCTGTGTCCAAACATCATGCACCAATGCATGATTATATCCCCAGTGTATTTTTCCTTTGGCCAACGCACCATATTTAATCAGCCCTAAGTTAATGCTTTACAAGCATTTCTAAGCAGCGGAGCATTTAAAACAAACAAATCTTTGCTGGAATCTTTAAATGCCATGTGGCAAAATCAGCTGCAGAGCAGTGTGTAATTGTCTGTAATTGATTATGAAGGGTGTTTTCCTCCACTGGTGATTTATACCATGTCCCGAAGCCTAGATCTGTCAGTTCTGGCACTCACGCTGTGAGATTTTAGCAGCCATGCAGTGATTTCATATAATTGTCAGTCTTTTTGAAGGCTCTGCTATAAAAGTTAATTAGAAGTCATATGCATATATGTATATAAATATAATTTGTAAGTAACGCTATTAGCTGTTGGTAGAATTCAGTCCATCTAAGTGAGTAGATCTAGGAAAATAGAAGGTTAAATGCACTACACAAAATTGAGGATTCCTAGTGTTAGGTACTGACATTTAAAGCACACATCATCCCCCGTTCATCAAAAGCGCTCCTTTTGAAACACTTATACTGCAACAACATAACAAATGAGTGCTCCCGAGCAAGTCAGTGATTTCCACATACAGAAATCCAAGGACAAAACAAGAAACTAAAATAGATATTAAGGTAAATTCCTTGCAACCATCCTACTGACAGTTGTGTATTAATCTTTGTAGTTCAGAGTCTATTCCTTAAAATGGATGATATTTGTACAACTCAATACTATGTGAAATGTTACTTTACTTGATCCAGATCATTTTTCTTTTTTACAGGTTCCAGCTGATATCATCATTTTGAATTAGCTATTTTCTGTGTGAGCTTAAGTCTTACTTTAAACCTATTGGTCTTTGTTCATCACAAAGGCACTCACTATATCTCTACGAAGGCTTAGACTCAACAATGACAGTAGATATAAATTAATGGGAATGCTAAGCGTAGGAAATCATTCCTCCCTAAGACACATATGTACACCCAAGTCAAGGGGGTCCATATCTGACAGATTAACTGTGATAGCACTAATGAAATGCTCTAGTGATGACACACACTCACACTTGACTTTGACTGGGCAAGTCACCAGAGACTGTCTTTTTGTCTTTCTGAATTATAATTATCTGAGAAAAGAAAAATAAGTTCTACAAAACAGATGTATATCCTATTAAAGGCTACTCTTTAACTTTTGGTTCAGTGGCCCTGTCTCCTGAAGCCTATACTGCAAATCAGCTTGTGATGTTCAATCCTACAAATACTCCTTCCACCTCCCTCACAAGCTGGTACTTCTATGCAGAACATGGCTAATACCAACAGAGCACTGCACCTCTCTGCTTTTATATAAAGAGGAGGAACTGCTTGCTGGGTTTACCTGTAAGCAGTTTCTGTTTCGAAAACCAAGTACCAGACCTAATGAAGCTGAGGACTGTAGAGGGAGGAAACTGATAAATCCTGACTTCATCATGACCTTTCCTATAAACGTGAAAAGAACTGCATTTTGGCAGGGATAAAAAATGCCTGCATGTGGGGAATGATAAAATCCTATAGTAGCTCAGACAAAATAGTTTAGGAGAATCTAGTCCTGCAAATCAAACCATATGTTACTCAGCAAGACTCTTCTCCTGCTTAGACAAGATGGCATCACACTCATGCAAATGCCTCTTTGTGAACCAGGATTATTTTCATATCCAGATCCTTAGGGAGCTTGACCCAGCAGCAGAAAGCTTTGAAAACAATATCAAGAATTCCCCAGTCTATGGCCTCATTTCTCTGGAATTCCAACAAACCCCATCAGCCAGCCCCAGATCTCTGCCCAGCTCACAGCCTACCTGCCATGAGCGTCTCCCCCATCCTCTCAACAGCTCAGTCACTTTCTCTATTCCTCACACATACAGCACAAAGGCAAGGGAGAACCTTCTATGATCAACAGGTAAATAAAGGTTCAGTGGCAAAACCCCAGCAGGCTTTAAATACAGAGCTCTCAAATACAAACAAACCAAAACAAAAAGTAAACCTGGCAGTACAGCAAAATAAACAGGGTTGAATGATCCAGAAACACACACCCATGAAATAAAACATCTCCTGGATTATTTTTGATATTTCTTGATTTTTGACAACAATTCTGGTATCCAAAACCAGCTGTACAAAAATGCAGAAACTAAACAATAGCTGCAGCCTTAGAGACCAAGGAGATACTAACAGAAAAGTTAAGGAATCTTCACTGTTGATGAGTAAGTCTTCAGGGATTGCTTGTCTTATCCTCCCTCTACAAGGTAATACAGGCAATTAGTGAAATGACCAGTGAAATCATCGAAATAGAAATACAGATTTCTTGTAATGCTTATAGCAGTTACACTTTCCTCTCTGAAGATATGAAAGCAGCAGAGAGCCCTTCAGTGAGAAATTCCTGTTAGCAAAAAACTACTTGGGAGAATTGAGAGTAGTGGAATTTTTGCTTAGGGATTGAAATAGGATTCGCACTTTCAAATGTATACTTCTCTTCAAAAAAATTATCGCCACTTTTAAAAGCAAAATGCTGTTTTGGCAAAGAAGATCTAGAAAAACAAAATACATCAATAAAATCCTATCTGACAGGCATGTTGTAAGACAAATATTTTTTCCTCTGTGAAACAATAGCTTTGGAGAAGGTCCATATTGCATCATTTAATGATAAATAACTAAACTGAGGGCAGTGGTTGGCACTGCTGTCGCACGCAATGAAATAACACTCTCCCCCTGAGGAACCATTTCCAACTGACACAACTGAGCTCACACCAAACCTGAGGTATTTTTTATGCTGTCAACTTATCTGAGTCATTATGATGCTTTTGTATTCAGGCAGAAATCTAATAAATGTCTTTTATCTAAGCTGATACGTATCTCTCTCTGGTTAAGTAGACAACATTTGAAAAGCCTTCTTTGTCCAGAAAGCTACACAGATTTTTAGCCACAGAGATGGGTGAACTGAGCTGAGGGCTTCTCATCACTCTTTCTGATACACTCAGAGTCAAAAGTCCCTTTTCTTCCCAGTGATTCCCAAGCAAATGAGTAACGTCATAATATTACCCCCAAAAAAGTGGCAAAAAAGCCAGAAAAAATAAGAATTAACATTTTTGCTCACAAAACAAACCAAACATTTTTCAGGTCAGACAATGTTCATGTCCCCCCACCTCAAGATTTTGTAAAATACTACACTTTAGAGGAAGATTGGCTAAAACATTACTCTCGGTAGCATTTTTAACCATGACCATTCAGAAACCATGAAAGAAGAGTTGAGAAAAGAAAGTAATACTGTTCAGAATCCCAAGACCAAACTCTATCTTATCATGTGTGATGGTGCATCTAAATTTCAGACACCCACACAGAAGTAGTATTTTTGAGGTACTCTGACATCGGTAATATTCTGGACAGGCTGTAAAATCAACCTGCAGCAATAATGCACAACCTATTCATGGTGTAGATGGGCCCAAACTAAACCCCCAGATCCAAACCCCCTGAGCAGAGCCTGGATCCAACCCCTGCAGATGGTGCCTATTTTGAATAATGAGGTGAACCACAGCCTCAGGTGCCAACACCCCTCCACCTCACAGGGGTGAAGCCTGGGCTTGGATCTGGTGGGTTCAGAGGTCTATCCTGAAGACCTAATGCAAGAAAATCGAAACGTATTAAACTCCAGCTTCAAAAGAAACAAGTCTTTCAGGAGAGGATGGTATGTGGGAATGGAGGTTGTTTTGGCATGGGATGGCCTGTGACAAAGCCAAAGTCCTGTTACTCATTCAACTGGTTTGCTGCTCATGGTACTGCCCTCTCCAGAAACACCGATTGCCAGCCACGAGCAATTGTAAAATATATTTCATGCAATGCTGGTTTTAAATCTGACATTTGCTTTTGTTCCTCACTCAAAAGCATCAGCATCTTTATCAAACTGTCCAAGAGTTGATACAGTATCTCCACTATTCTTATCTTATTACAGTCTTTTTCTATTTTGGGGTTGTTTCTGGATGTTTGGCTATGAAATTCCCTCCCCTCAGTCTCCAAAATTCTTCCTGAAAAATACCTCTCTGTATCTGGTACCTAGTTACTACAATAATAGTCACCTTAGAAACATTATAAATACACAATTAAACAGGATTCTGTTCCAAAGTCCATTAAGTCAGTAAAATTTTTTCCATTGACTTCAATGAGCTGTGGGATCAGGCCCTGAAATACTTTAAATACATTTTTTCCATCTATAGCCTGATAATACAGAACATATTCCATTTTTTTCCTCTCCTCTAACATCCCTGCCCTGATTCCCTTGCCCTGAGACACACATTGCTGTGTTAAGATGTACTTTCTTCCCATGCCAGTCTCCTAGGTGCCAGATTAAATCCCATCCTCACTGCAACTTGGTGTAATGGTTATTTACTCCCTGTTCCAAAGCTTTTCATTCCAAAGCTAAGGATGTGCTGGCTTAGTTCTTTGGTGAAAGGTTTTTTGAACTCTTTATCTACTTTCTGTTACCTGTCTGCGCAGAGGGATTCGCTTTGTCAGCTTATGGACAGCGGGCTGGCTGCTGAAATCAGGCTTCTTGGTGGTGTTCTTCATGCGACACAGGATGACTGTCAGCACCATGCAGGCAATTAAGAAGACCCCTATGCAGTAAATTGCTATTTCCAGGTAGTCTGGGGATGTCGGATATTCTTTTTCTTTTTCAGGAGCTGGATTGGAAGTTTTTAGGAGGGAACAATCACGCCACAGAGTTAGCAGACGGTAACAAACATAGTTCAACACAGTGCTTGGAACAACTTGACATGGTAAAATACCAGCAATTCTTGCAGTGACTGTGTGACGTACAGAATGTTATGAATGTTTAGGCCATCTTGCAATCTGAGAGTAATTCTTCTTTCTACTGCTTTGACTTCTCAGTATGCCATTGAGTATGAGCTTGTGCATGTATCTATACACATAAAGACACATACACGTGTCTACCTAGAAAGGTAGATGCATATACATTGAAATATTGGATGATCAAGCATAATTTTAGGGGAGAATCAAAAATTGAACTAGGCTCAGGTTCATTTTGTGGCTCAAGTTAAACTTCAAAAGCACTGTCATTCTTTTTAACCACATGAAGACACATCTAAAGGTAAAACATTGAATTAGCTAGCCTAAAATGGTCTAAATGTACAAATAGACATCTGGACTTGAGTCTGCATTGCCTGTTTATCCAAAGTTTCCAGTGGGATCTCAAAACACAGAGGGAAGGCAGGATCAATCAGTCCCTCATCATGCTTCTAAACTCAGGTTAGGAATTTCAGGAGTGTTTCAAGGACCTGGCTGCAAGATTATGCCAGATGCCTGCCTCCCCTGAGGACCTTGGAAGAGTCCAGTATCAGATTAAGAAGCATAAAGCGAGTGAAAGCTGAATCGCTACCGATACACTAATTAATGAGTTCTCTCTTATGAGGACTGCATACTTCAAGTAACCTCATCAGTGGTTACAAGACTATGAGATTAGATTTTAGTGGGAGTGGTTCTATATAGCTGTTGCTCTGATTGAAAGCATTTTGAAATTATCTTCAAGGCAATTATATGTGCAAACACTGTCCTTAATCCCTTATCTGGGATTCAGCCCCCCGGATAAACAGCATTCCACAGCAATCAGCGGTCACTCCACAAGCAATGCACGTTCAAGCTGAGATTTTCTTGTGCTTCATTTTAGGCTCATAAAAATATTTCATTCCAGAAAATGGGTTAAAAAAATTACATTTCAAGCACTTGCAAAATGCAAACACTGCAGAAGCAAGCTCTACACAAGTGCTGCTTTGCCTGCTGGGTGACAAGACCACGCAGGCTCCGTCTTCACATACGAGTGAGATGTAATGAAGTTGCCTCATTCACTATATTTTATTAAAGGGTAAGAAATCTGCAGCAAATGGGAACATTTCACTCCCGTAATATGAACCTCAGCCATATGCACATGCAGGTTTTGTACCTTTTACTTAGGATTAACAATTAATAAATGGTAAGCACAAGATGACCCAGCAAACCTCAGGTGGTTCATGTTCTTTTTCAAAGGAACTCCTAAGGCAGCTGCCAACAGTTATAAACGAGAAGATTTGACTAGTGTCAAAACCAACTACAGTTACATCTTCTAACAGCTGATAACAATTTTCAGGCAATAAAGCACATTGATGTTTGTTTCTTTTAAGGACAGAAACATCATCAACCCCAAAACAGCAAGACATGCTTTGCAGTAAAAGCAAACGACTACTTGTTTCCTTAGAGCATGCAATGTTTAAAGATGCACGGAGCCTATTCCCAAGATATGGAAGGCACTGCTTCTGTATGCAATCCATTGGCATTAAAATCAGAATTTGGATGATAGGTGAAACTGAATTGAAGCACACTGAATAGCTCAGGTATTTTAATGAACCAGTATATGATTGTGGCCAAATTAGTCCCAAAGCTTCAGAAGAAGCTTTGACTTTCATCCTCTTGAAAAAGTTTACAATGATTAATGTGTTGATTTTCAGTTATCTCGCTGAAGTGCTAAGGAAATGCAGCTCCTTAGCATTTCTGGTGATCATTTAACAGATGTAAAAATATCTCAATTAAGTGCAAAAGCCATTCCCCCAACCCTTTTATTTCATTGTTGTTGTTAGGTTTTTGGAGTTTCAAATATGTGATGAAACAATTCATTGGCTCGAGACAACTCTGTTTAAATAAAAATCATTGTAAAATTCCTTTTCTGAGACAGAAGCCGTGCTTAATTCTGCAGCAATCAACAAGGGGAAAAACAAAAGAGGAAAAACCACAGAAAGAGAGCAGTGTATACCTGGCAGAACTGTCAACCATGCAGTGTGAAAGGATATCCCAATAGAATTACCCGCCAAGCATGTATACTCCCCAGCATCCTCAAAAGTTACATTCCGTATATAGAGAACCTCAATTTCTTTGTCCGTGGTGTTAACACCGGCAGCCTAAAAAAAAACAAGAGAGGGAAGCAAGAGAAAAAGCTAGACATTGAGAGAATTCTTGTGGATAGGGAGATGGAGCCACAGGGCTTTGCACTTTGTAAAGGTAGAGATGTAGAGATGCAAAGCTTGTTCCCCATCCACAATCCCTCATCCAAAAGGCGTTCACCAACAGGTCCCAGCTCACCTCAGAAAGTAATCAACACCCTTCACCAGACCTAAACTCACCACCTAAACATGCATGCAATCAAATGACATGGAAAAATTCACCCACAAAGCTTTTTTTCCTTCTTCTTTTATAATAAAAGAAAGTTGAAAGAAGGACAAAGAGAAAACAAAGTAGGACAGAATAAAGGATCCTTCACATGTAGTTACCTGTTCCAGAGGAAAGAATTTACTATAAAAATATATTCTGAAAGGATTAACAGAAAGGTAAATTCTGCTTCAAAAGACACAACTTAGTAGCTGTCTTAAGCAGTGTATGGTCCTTGCATCATCCACTGCACTTCACATAAATAGTGTACGTTGTGCAGTGTTGCCAAATCTTGTTTTAATCAAAGTCTGGTAATATTCGGTGGTTCGCTTAGAAGGTATCTCAGTTCTTGTTCAGAAAAAAAAAAGATGTGGAGAAGAACTGGACCCCAAAGGTTCAAGAGCCAGGAAATGGAAATCATAGAATGTTTTGGGTTGGAAGGGACCTGAGAGATCATCTAGTTCCGAGCCCCTGCCATGGGCAGGGACATCTTCCACTGTATCTAAATCTTAAAGACTGAAAAATAAATTCTAGAAGTTGGGGGTTTTTTAACTGGTCTCCTTCCAGACTTGCTAAATCTCTGACTTGACAAGTCATTATGCACCAAACCAATCCTTGTATCAGTGTTTATCCAAACTCATACAAATAGAGTAAATCTTAGACCTGGAACTTCCCAGCTGTCCCAAGACAGGCTCAGCAGGGCATCAGCATCAAGGTGTCTATGATGGAGATTTAGAGAAATTATTGTTTGCTGCTTTTTGTCTCCGTTCTATTAAAAGACATTACTTTGAAATACATGATGAGGGAATAAACACGTTGTTACCAGACCATTTTAAAGTAAATGTAGTTGTGAATTGTACTCACATTATTGATGGGTTATTACCCAGTTAATAATGTGTGAATAACAACTGAGAAACCCTCCCAATCTGCACATTCACAGGTGATGTGGGAAGTTAAGTGACTAAATTGACCTGATTTATGCCTCGGTGGGTACTTACATGAACACTTCATATATATATATATATTCATATATATATATATACACACACACATATATAAAAAATAGTCTTATTTTCCTCATATTTAGAAATACCAGTATGCAAATCCCACCAGGCGTCCTGCTGCTCTTTTGTAGCGCCTACCCTGTGGGCAGGAGAGCCCCCGAGCCACAGCCAAGGGGGAAATATATATATATGTAAATATACACTAATTAGGTCATAATTACTTTATTCAACTAGTACCCTATGTGAGAACTGCAAAGTATGCAGAATCAACAATAAAACTGGACATAAACACACAGACACAAGAAAGAACAAAGAAACTAGTGCTTATGGTACACACAGAATATTGTGGGAATTTTTCCATGGCTGCTGGCGTAATACCAGTTGCATCACCAAAGGAGGATTACACATATACCACAAGGCCAAAGAGTTATCCTACAAGCTGCCTGCAGTCTCCCAAAGCACCATTTTTTCCAGCTTCTACATCCAGCTTGCTTTAAAAAACATTGTTACCTTGTAAACTTGGCAGAACTGAGAGCCAGGCAGACTGGTTGGCCTCCCCTATATAATTGGAGACCTTACAAATATATTCTCCAGCGTCCGCCTCTGTCACATTGTACAGTGTCAGCACTTCAGCATTGGAACTATTTATCCCCGAATGCTAGAATAGACCAATAACACAGGAGAACAATGTCACTGCTGCCCAAAACGGACACCAATCTATGGTCCCACCACCAACACGTCATAAGAATATGCCTTCCACTTCATGCAGTGTCAAAACATTGTGAGGTTGGGGTTTGTTTGGGGTTTTGTTGGGGTTTTATTGGTTTTTAAATCCAAAGTGTCACATGAGGAGTTAGAAAACAGTGGCGAGGAGGGGAAAAGGACCTGGGCTGGTACACCGGCTGTATGGAACAAGATGGTATAGACCTGGCTGTCCTGCCTGCCAATGTGCTGAGTTTTGGCAATGTCACCCAGCTCGGAAAACTCTGGAGTTTCCTTGGTCAGGCTTGCTCAAAACAATACCACTGATACACCGGCGAAAAAGACATCTCTGCAGGCTCAGCATCCAGAAAACCCAACCCTGCCAACAAGCTTTTACAGTGGGTGTCACATTAGTTTGAAATAGAGGCTGAAGAAATGTGAAAGAAATGGAGTAGATTGTCCCAGGGATGTTTTGGGTGCGTTCTACCCATACATAAATGTCAATGATGTTCTTAAGAGGGTTTTCGTTTTTTCTCTGAATAAGTCTTGCCTGAAACATTCAGAGATAAAGGACTTCACAGAAGCAAAAAAGAGCAAAACGGTGTCTATAAACTGCATAATTAACATTTAGACAATCAAATGTTTATCTAAGTCATTATTTCATTTGTAACATAAACACTTCCACTTCCAAAAGAAGCTCACATCTCAAGACTCCTGGATTTACACCAAATACATGCGATGCTTTAAAGAAGTCATCACCATGGCCAGCATCTGTAAAGCCTCACCTTCAGAACCTGAAGATACGGCAGTCCGTCTGGTCCATATTTACTGCCATTCTTCTCTACGTGTTTTATCCACTGAATATGAGGTTGAGCATCACTGTAGACTTTGCAGACAAACTCGACGTCCCCTCCGACGACTGCAGAGGCATTTGCTGGAAGGCCAGCTTGGAGAATGGGTCTGTGTGGTGATCGCTCTGTTCGGGTGGAGAGAGGCAGAGAGGAGGAGAGAGAGGGGGAGGGAGAGAAATAAAGATGCATAAATAAGCAGAGCTGCCAAGAAAACTGTAAGTGAACTCGAGCCAAACAGCCCTGTAAGCCTGTTGGCTGACTCCTCCGAAATAACACTGAGGCCAAAACCTGTAACAAAAACTGCAGTTCAAAGGAGATGACTTGAGCACTACATTTGTAATAGAAAGAATAGCTATTTGGGGGGAGGGGAGAAATTGTGCTTAAAAACTTTAAGCATTTTTCATAGTTCAACTTGGCAAGAATTAAGTAAAATAGCTTTTTTTTTTTTTGAGCTTCTGTAAGTACCTCTGAGCTTTAAAACATTTTAATTGGACTAAAACTCTACAAATTAGAAGAAAGACTATTGACTAATTTTAAAACCTGATTAATGTATGTGATGACTGGATGAAAAGTTAAAATGACAGTCCTAGTTACCAAATTGCTTTATCATCCAGTGAGCAGGACAGACAATGTCACAATGCCACCACAGGACACAGGGAAACTCGGTTCTCTGGAAAACTGCAGTGTATTTAGTGTGAGTCAGTTGAGCTTTGGATCTATGGACTTAATCTATGGACTTGCTTAAGCATTTATCAAACGTTCTTGGCCAAGCTCACACCACTGAACATACCAGGTGTACCCTGTATCACCTGGGTACCCAGAGAACCCCTGCAGCCAGCGTTACCGGCCCAATTTTGTGGATGCAATAGGCTTTGCGGAAAGCATCAAGTTTCCATCACCCTCAGTAAGCCTGATCTAACAGCACCTAAAGTCTTCTGGGTGGTGGGCAGTGCAGGAGCCAACTCCCCATCATCCAGGGCCACCAACAGCCTTTTTTTTGCTGGACAAGACAGATGAGCTTTCTCTTACGTGATGTTTGAATGAAAAGTCCTCAAAACAGCAACCTCGGTTACCAAATTGCTTTATTATCCAGTGAGTGGGATGGACAATGCCACCCTCCCCAGAAAACCTTCACAGAGATGCAGTTTCACCAGCCTAGCAGGGAACTCACCACCTTCTTAGGTTAGATTGAGATTAGACATTAGGAAGCTCTTCCCTGTGAGGGTGCTGAGGCGCTGGCACAGGGTGCCCAGAGAAGCTGTGGCTGCCCCATCCCTGGCAGTGTTCAAGGCCAGGTTGGACACAGGGGCTTGGAGCAACCTGCTCTAGTGGAAGGTGTCCCTGCCCATGGCAGGGGTTGGAGCTGGATGAGCTTTAAGCTCTCTTCCAACACAAACCACTCCAGGATTCTTCCTGCAAATCTAATGCTGTCCATTTCAGTCTATAGGAACGTAAAGTTAATACAGACCTACATATACTTTCAATCTATGAATTAGAAGTGAAACGCTCATTGCCCATCCAGAGCTGCCCTTTCCCCCCTGGCTCCAGGAATTCTTTCAAAGATAAGAAAAGAGCAGCGGACCTCAGTATTTATTTTTAGAGGCTGTACACTGTAAAAGCTTTGAACATTACGAGCCAAATCAACTGAATTTCAAACCAAGCATTCCTTTTTAAACATACTAGTTTCCAATAAACTGTTTCACAAGCAAACATTGCAAGTAAAATAGCAAATAATGATGCCCATGGAACAATGGGATCTTTTATACAGTCCAATAGATTTGGCATGCAGCAAACATCTACTGGGAATTTATTCACTGAGGCTATGCTGGCAGCGTACTACAAAGCAGGAGTCTTACTTTACTTGTGGCAAAAGTGCATTTGTTGTTGCAGTTATTAAATTATTCCAAGGCTGTGTGTGTCATTTTCAAAGATCTAGGAACAAAGATCTATTTTTTAATTTGTAAATTACAGCAGAACACATAAATTACTATTTTACAGTTCTGGAGAGAACTTTTAGTTTCTCACCTTAAACTAAATAAGCTTTAATTCCATCTCACTCGCTCCTTCATTTGGGTACAAAAACAGCAAGCAAAAAAATCTCTCTTTAATAGAAACCTTACACCATCTTCCAAAACTTATTACAGCTGCCTTCAGTATAAAATGAAACCTTAGAGAATGTTATTTAAAATGTTTTTTAGAAGTCAGTAGGCCTCATGTTTCATTTCTCCACATAAGGGTTTGATTTCCTTTGTGACCTTATTCTCTGCCCTTAAACAAACCATAGAATGAGGCCTGAAACATCTTGGAAAAGTTCCTACTATGCCAGCATCAACACACTAAATGTGTTTAGTTTATCCCGATAGCCATCAATGATTTAATCTTTTATTGATGACTGTCAAACATTTCCCCTACCAGAAAAGAGGAGGCAAAGCAAAGAAATAAAAGCAGAGTTCTTACATTCTACGTCCCAAATTCCTTTAAAAAACCTAAATAAAGTGTGTGCAGATGTATAGGTGTGGATGTGTAGCCAGTTGTGAAATTTCTTCTCTAAGGGTAAGTGTGTCAAAAAGAAACTCTGGTTGCCCTCCAACATCTGGAGCATTGATTGGTGTTTGTCAACTCCCCCAGCTCAGCAGAAGGGAGTATTCCTATGCCCACAGAGGCAAACAGCACAACATAGCCATCCTGATGCAAATTCAGCAGGGTTTCATGACAAAGACCCCAGGAAACACTCAGAATTGGGGCACATAACTAAATATGGAGAAACTTCTGCTAATTACGGATGACCAAGTATAATTTTATACAGCATCATTTCTTAGGAATAGCCATTTGAGGACGTTATCCCGTCTTTCCTATTTCTCTGCAAACCACGCACATCTAAGGGCTCTGCTTAAGCATAGGTACTGTCAAAACCATATTCATAAATCTCACATCACTATTTAGCATTTAAAATACAAGCCGTACATGTGTAAGCAGATATCATCACTCAAACAACTGGCTACACAAATATTAGATGGAAACAGTGTGTTCTTTTTTACTAAAGCCTAGCAAAGGAGTCTTAAAGGTTGCTGAAACTCATTTTATCACTAGCCCTACAAAACCTAGTATTTATAATCAGGATCACTGCTAAACAAAACATCTCTAGTTATTTAACTCAGACAAGCAGTATTTTCATACAAAACAAGTTAGCAACCCATCTCATGCCTCTGGAGCCTTTCTGATGTCAATATTCCTCTTGCTTATTAATATTGAATTGAATCAGAACCTCAAGAAATAAATCTTTGCTACCTGTCCACTCTCACTGCTCACACAGTTCAAAAACAAGCCAACAGCATATGCATACAGAAAATCAGCCCACAAATGAGCTGTCTTTAAGCACACTAAGCAATAAATAAACTATAAATAATAGTTACTGAGTGAACTACATACAGATCTACAAGGTTTTTCATAGACATGTAGTGCTTTCTCAAGCAGGCCTTCCCGGTTCAACTGAAGTGCCATAGATGTTTAAAAGCAAATGTAATGGGTGTCTAAAAATTTTGTAAATTGGACAATATTTTCTGTATATTGATCTGAAATTGAGCCAAACTGATAATTACACATAAATCTCCATATCTTACATTTCATTTGTATTCTAGTTCTTCCCAAAGTCTAACTTTATAATACTTTTTAGAGAGAAAGCATGCTTAATGCTGGATACCATCCTAAGAGATAGACACCAACATCATTCCCATTTGAGGAGTCAGCTACCTACAAAATGCAGAGTGAAAATTATTGTTCACTTGAGGAATATCATATTCAAGGCTATAGGCAGCTTAATTTTACACCACCTTAGAAGTGCCCAGGGCCTGAGTAATTCTTACTTATCTATAGACAAACAGACTTGCTGTCTGAAAAGATGACTGACAAAAGATACCTGCCCAATGGCTTGGAAGAAACTGTCATTTGGCCTATTAATGTTAAAGCTTCAGAATACGTTCCTTTGCAGAAAAAACTGCAAAGAATCCAGGAAAGCTGGAAAATTCCAAGTTTCCACAAAACTGGCACAATGGAAGGAGCTGCTCAGACAGCTCCCAGCCCTGCAGGACACCTGGAGACAGCTGGGAGCCCAATCCTGAAATCATTGAACACCAGGTTGGAAAGGACCTTAAGGATCACCTGGTCCAACCATTCTAGTAAAAGTATGACCTGACTAGATGTCCCAGCACCCTGTCCAGCCAAATCTTCAAAGTACCCAATGCTGGGGAATCCACTTCCCTGGGGAGATTATTCCAATGACTGGTTGTCCTCTTTGTAAGAAATTTCCTCTTCTGTCAGTCGGAATCTCCCCAGGAGTAACTTGTGCCCATCACCCCTCATCTTTTCCATGTGATTCCTTGTAAAAAGGGAGTCTCCATCCTCTTTGTAGCCACTTTAAATACTGGAACATAGTGATGAGGTCTCTCCTGAGCCACCTTTTCTCAAGGCTGAACAAACCCAGCTCTCTCAGCCTTTCCTCATACAGCAGGACCATCCTGCCACAGGTGATGAAGGGAGAAATGACTGGAAGAACCATCCTGGATATGACAACTTCCCAAGGAATCCTGACAATTGGCTCTTAAAGAAGTTTAAGCCCCTGGGTAGGTGGTTCCTGAAAAAGGGCCTCATCTCCCTCCTATCCTTGGCTTTATCTCGTCCAAATCTTGCTGATAGCTGCAGCCAGCATGGCGGGAAACCAGAGAGGAGACAAAAAAGTCATGATGCAAATGTATGAGTTGAAGACACTGGGATAAAGAGATGGGTGACAGGAGCCAAAACCCCAAGTTCTGCAGCCAACGGAACCAGATGATGTGATCCCACCACTCCAGTCCTAGCGCAGGGGGTGCGGGGATGGAACAACCGCAGGAAGAGAGGCTGCTCGCCAAGCATGCTGGCAGAGGGAAGATGCAGGGCAGGATCTGCTGCTGCCAGAGGCCCAAGTAGAGCATATTGTGACTAGGTGCTACTGGAGTTCCTTGGCAGGGAGAGGAGACAATAACCCCGGAAGGGGTGAGCTCTGGGGCCCATCCCCAGGCCAAGTCTCCTTAGCAACCTGGCTGTGCCAGGGGCTGAGAAGAGCTCTGGCAATTGTCTATCCAGGGCTCCT